TCAACCCTGTGCTGTATGGTGTGTTTGTCACTGACCGTGAATAAAGGTGTGACCATGCTGAGGGCTCTTGCTCTTCCATAAGCTGAGGTAGCCCTAGGGTACAAGACAGGGGGAGAAGAAGCCTGGAGGGAGCTCAACAGTGGGGGTGCCTCAGGAACCTCTTTGAGCCTGAGGGCCTTGTTCTAGCAAGGACTCTGGTTATGTGGAACAGAGACCCACTTGAGCTAGTTCAGAGAAAGGGGTGAGCAGATTAGAAGGGGCCCTGAAGAGGGAAAATCTAGAATGGCTTGGCCTCAGAAGGACTGGAACCAACAATAGGGCCTCACCCTTCTCCTTTCTGGGCCTCTCAGACTCTCCTCCCCTCGGCAATATTTGCATCTGTGTTCTTTTCCTCGGTTTCTTTTCAGACTTCCTTGGTTTCCCTGCAAAAGTGGCTGCATCCCCAACTCTGTATCAAGACTTCCCAGCAGGGGACAAGTCCCCACTGCGCCAGTTAGTTCCAGTTCTCAAGCAAAAGAATCTGACTGGTTGAGCTTGGCTTACGGTGGGAGCCCTTGGTCCATTCATCAATGACCACACCAGGTGCTGATACGTGGTCCTGTGGGCAGAGCAGTTTCCCCAGAAGGGAGCCAATGGCAGACACCATTGGATGTAGTTTCTCCCTCCGTCCAGTGGAAGGCGTCATAGAGCCCCAAGGAGTGAATAGTGGGGAGTGGGGAGAAAGGCCAAGAGCCAGGATTACAATTAATTAAGCTATATGGTGCCCTTTGTGCAAATTAGGAAAAGACACCCTTTCTGGGTGTAAACAGCCTCATAAGAACACAGCTGGGCCAGTGGATGGCACCTTTGGCCTAATGAAAAAGTATACCCGTTCTTCTGAATAAACACAGCCTTGTCATGCCATGGTGCATGGCTTGGCAAGTGAAGCATATCTTGAATTTCAGTCCCACCTGCCCTGCTGGTGGAGGGTGCAGTGCGTAACCTGTTTCGCCATCCCCAAGGAGACCAGCCCAGGCCCTGAGACCTTCTGGAATGGAGTTAGTGTTGACGTGTTTTTCTTAGAATACCAACTCCCACCCCCACCCAACCCAGTGGCCAGAGTAGGCACTGCTTGTTGCAGGGAGCTGGGGGCTGGAGGGGACTGCTTGCTCCTGAAACACTCAATTGCATTAACAAGGATTTTCTCAAGGACGCTTGGAGGGGGCCAGCTTCCTTGGCAGGAAGCAATTAGGACAGAGGAAGGAGGCTGACCTGCCCTCAGGGCAGCCATAAACCTCCGGAGGTGACTCAAGAGCCTGAGAACTTGGGGCTGCTATTCCCAGCTGAAGCCTTACTGGGGGAATCGGGAGGCTTGTTCCCTACCTACTTGGGGTGCACAGGTCCAGGTCCGGGGTTACATCCTGAAAAGTACCCTCCTGGCCTTCAGCACCTCTGACACAGATTGGTCTGCCTCCTGCTTTCAGGCTTGCCCTCCATGCCATCCAGGTGTCCCCAGGAATCAGAGTGATCTTCCTGAAGTGCAAGTCTGACAGTGTCAACTCTCTGAAATCTCCACTCTTCCCTCAGTGTGATAAGCTTCCTAAGAGTCCCTTAAGGCATGACCTTAAGGCTTGGGTGACCCAGTCGGTTAAGCATCTACCTTGGGATCAGGTCATGATCCCAGGGTCCTGGGATTGAGCCCCGCATTGGGCTCCCTGCTCAGTGGGGAGTCTGCTTCTCGCTCTCCCTCCCCCCGCTCATCCTCTTTCTCTCTTAAATAAATAAAATCTTTAAAAGAGAGAGAGAGAGTCTCTCAAGGTCCTACAGGATCTGCTTGCCACCTGTTGACCTCCAAAGCCTTTTCCTCCCCTACCTCCCCAACCTCCCCATCCTTCACCCTGCACTTGGCCTCCCCATACTGCCCTCCATTTCCCTAAGGCATCTCTCATGCTTCTGTGCTGGTGTGCAAGCCATCGCCTCTCCCTGAGCCCCCATTCCCTATCTCAATGATGTCCTTCCCTGTGAAGCCCTCCTAAAGCTCAAACAATGACCCCTCTTTTGAACACAGTCCATGATAGCTACCAAACAGTTTCCCATGGGATTGCCTGTCAGCTCCAGTTTCCAGTTTAAAGAAACTGGAAGCCGAGTCTCCAGTTTAAAAAAAAAAAAAAATGCAAGGAAATAAAGGCTCGGGGAATGGCAAGACTACAACTTGAACTCGGGTCTTCTAACATCAAGCCTATTGCTTATTGTGCTTTCTGTGTGGGGGAAGGGGGGAGCAGAGAAGGGTGAAGGAAGCCTTCATGGAGTAGGTGGCTTCTGCCCCAGGTCTTGCTAAAGACCAGCCAACAGGGCCAGGCATGCTGGGGCGGGGCTGGCCAGATGAGCAGTTCAGGTGCGGGGATCCTGGAGTCATGTGCAGAGGGGTGTGTTCCCGGCTTATCCAGCTGCGGAAGAGCTGAACCCTGAGGTTCAGGTTCAGCTGAACCTTGAAGCGCTGACTCAAGTTCAGCAATGCAGAGCCAGGGAATCCCTGCACCAAGCCCGTGGTCGGAGGTGGCAGAGAAGGTAGAGGCAATGGCCAGAAGCCTAATAGGGTGGAAAGAACAGTCTAGGATTGAGTTAGAACCCTTCCAAAGAGGGATCTAGGGAGAATTCTTAAAGGAACTGAACCCAGAGTCAGGCAGGATCCTTAGACAGAGGCTTAGTCATGTCCGTCTAGATTGGTTGAGATTTTTGGTTTCAAGGGAACAAAACCCAATTCAGACAAGCTCAAGAAAAAAGGGAGGCTTATTGGCTCCTATAATTGGGAATTTGGGCACTGCTGGGGCCAGAGGCTCAGTGTTACATCCTCTCTTCCTCTCTCCACTTCCGCTTCTCTACCTCTGTGACCTCGCCGTCTGCTCTGGATGGGCTTCTCCCACGTTCTTTCGCCTGCCGCAGGGAAAGATGGGTTCCCAGCTCTCGCTGCCCCAAATTAATAACCCCGGAGAAGAGCCAAATCTCCCAGCAACCCTAAATAAGAGCACAGGCGGGTGGCTCAGCTGGGGTCCCAGGCTCTTTCCTTGTTCAACTGCTATGTCCAGGGAAATAGGGTTTCCGATTGGTCAGGTCTGGTCACATGCTTACTCCTGTGACTGGGGAGGCCAGGCTCCTTAACTACAACTACCCTTGAACAATGCAGGGATTAGAGGCACTGACCACTCCTTACCACCGAACATTCAAAAAACACACGTATACATTTGGACTCCCCCCAAACTTCATTCTTACAGCCTACAGTTGATGGAAAGCGTTACTGAAAACTAGTGGATGAACACAGATTTTGTATGTTATATACATTATATGCTGTATTCTTATAGTAAAGTAAGCCAGAGAAAGGAAACTGTTTTAAGAAAACCATAAAGAAGATAAAATACATTTATGGTACTATATGTATATTTACTGAATAATTTATTTCAATGTATTTATTGAAAAAGTCTGCATTTAAGTGGACTCACGCACTTCAAACCCATCTTTTCCAAAGGATAGCTGTAGGAGAAGTGGGTGGGAAGGGTTGCTAGTCAGACAAAACCAGTAGCCACCAACTTTGGGGGGGCATTAGTTGAAGTGATGTGGAGAATCTCATGGGACTTTAGTGATGAACATTATTCCCCCGCCTCAGCTGGAGACTTGGGAAGCTGAATGGACCAGAGGCAGCTCCCTGCCAAGGCAGCATGGTCTCTCTTTCAGGGGATCGATACTGCCCTCTGCACAGCTTTTTCCATCTTTCTCTGCTGATTGGCTAATTCTGCTTATAGAGTTTTTGCCCCCTCTTACCCTCATGTTGCACATGGCCGCAGCCTGCTGAGGCTCACCCAGATCTCTGTCCAAGTCACATTGCCAGAGGGTAGGCAGACTGGAGAGCGTTTGGGGCCATCTATGGAAACTATCAAGTCTGGAGAAGAAACATACTTACCCTGATCCCAAATTTTGTTATTATTTCCCCTTTCCTGCCACACAAGCTTTGGTTGGTCCTCCCAGGACACGGTGGAGGCTGGGCATATCTTTCCATTCTGTACCCCCTTCCAGCCAGATGCCTTCCAGGCTAAGCCAGTATGTTCTCCTGCTGCTCCCACCCACCTGTGCCGACTTCTAGGCTCACACAGAGATGCCCCTTGTCTGCTTCCTGACCTGTACTCCGGGACAGGTGGCATTAGTGGCTGCACCCGGGGCTCTGCACCAAGAGGGGACAGTGCCCTGGAACTGCAGGATGGTGGTCCAATAGACTTTGGTACCAAGCTCCTTTTCTACCCTCCCTCTGCAGGTGGACCCTGTGACCGTGAGCCCCCTACTGGCCGTCAAGGGGCCAGCAAGAACCTGGGTTCAGAGTCCCTGGGTGTCTTCCTGGTGTGGGTCCCCGGCCAGGCTGTGGGGACCTGGTTTCGCCACCGACTTTAAAGGTCCTTCCGCCTTGGAGGGGAATAGCTGCCCATCCGGGCCGTCTATCGTGCGCCCGGCTAGGAGCAGAATCCAGCTCAAGGACGGAGCTGTCCATCCACAGCCACTTCTCCCTCCGCAGAACCGACTAAGGTCTGCCAGTCGGATTCCCAGGGTCCTGGCACCGGAGGGGGAAGCGGCCGCCGGCTAGCTTTTGGCGGGGAGGGGGGAGGCTAGCTTTTCATTTTTTCCTTTAAGGATCATCATCCTGGGGGGGAAAGTTGTCAGGCCTCTCCTCTCTCGGCGCCCTTGAGCACCAGCGAAGAACACGATCCCCGAAATGCCGAATCCGCGGCAGCCCGCAAGCCCAGCTTCAGGGCCCGTGCTCCTGGGAGCCCGAAAGGCCAAACCCTCCCCAGTCACCACCCCCTACCCCCACATTCACTTGGGGACTCAGCCGCCGCCTCACCCCCCGCCCCCCCAGGACACATCCAACATCAGCAACCCGCCCGCAGCGGAGAACGAGTGTAACAAACCCCCGCCCACCCCACCCCCAGCGGCTCGCGAGCGCACACTCCCCGCGCGGCCCGCCCCCTTCTCACGCCCGGGCCGCGCCTCCCTGCTGCAGCCCATTCCTGTCAGCGCCGCGTCCCCGCCGCCGCCAGCTCGGGCCGGCAGGGTGGCAGCCGGATCATGGAAGCCGGGGAGCTCCGGGAGCCCCGCGAGCCCGGGCCGGGGGCAGAGACCGCGGCGTCCGGGTGCTGGGAGGAGACCAAGACTTTCTACGAAAACCTCGCTCCCAAGAAGAAACCCAAATCGGTAACGGCAGGGCCTGGGTACGGAGGGAGGGCAGGGGAAGGGTCACCGAGGGAGGGTCGTAAGCCCTCTGGAGAGGGACCCGTGGCAGGCCTCCAGGAGGGGACGCAGCTCCTTAGCACCAGAATGTGCCGGGCCTTTGGCACCGGCTCGCGTTTATTTTGGGAGCTCTGCGCCGGTGTTTTTTCCCCCGGGCTCGGGTTCCACGCCAGGAACCCCCCTCCCCCATGCTGTCCTCAGGGCCCAGTTCCTCCCAGAGCCCGCAGCCAGGGGCTCGCGGACAGCACTTGTTGGCACAGCGGGTCAGCGGCGCCTGCCCAAGCGCCCTGGGCTGGGGTAACCTGACCCTGGAAACCCGGCTCCTCGTTGTGCGCTCAGGTCCCTGCCATCTGGGCCATCGGGCTCCGGACCCGAGAGTCTGCGTTCGGGCTCTGGCTCACGGCCCTGCGCTGTGGGCTCCGGGGGCTGCGCTGTCCGCGTCCTAAGGGAAGGGAGCTGCACTGGGATCTTCGCCCTGCGTTCAGGGCTCCCCACGCTGGACTTTGCGCCAAAGCTCCGGGTTCTGCTCCCGTCGCAGTGGGCATCAACATCTCCGTGACTCCCGTGGTGGTCTGGGAGACTCATACAGTGAAGAGAGCTCCTCTTCCCATCGGACAGATTCCTGATGTCCCCGCTGTCCCCTGGGCCTTGCTCATTGCTGCTTCCCAGATCTCAGAGCTTGGTAAGGGGACTGAACGGAGGTTGGCCCAGAGGCATCCTCCGAAAGGTTCCAGCCTGACCTTAAAGCATCCTGCTGCTTCCCACCAAGAGCCCTTCCCCAGGAGGCCCACCCTATCAACAGTCATTCCCTGCAGCATCTCCAGGTCCTGCTTGCTCAGCAGTGGGGACTGAGAGATGAATTTGGTTGAGTCCCTGCCTCAGCAGCCCACGGTGCACGGAGGGAGACTTTTGAGGGAGACCCTGGCCAGGGTGAATGTTCAGATGAAAGACCCTACATGGTCCAGAGGGAGCATACAGGAGTGAGAGACTGCCCGCTAAGGAAGGCTTTGCAGACACAGACTAAGAAAGGCTTTGCAGACGCAGCGTTTGAGCTCAGCTTAAAGGCTGAGTAGGCAGCATTTCCCAGCCAGACTGGGAAACAGGATGAGCAAACGGCTTGAGGATGTCTTTGATACTGAGTGGGAGAAGGCAGGATCCTTGGGAGATACATGGGTGGGGTGCCAGAGACCCACATAGGGCCTTGAATGCCATACTCAGGAGCCTGGGTAGTCAGTGGGGTTAGGGGTTTTAAAACCAGGTTCCACTGGGGCCCTATGTTTCCGGACGTCTGCACACATGCGGATCTAATTTATTTTCTTTTTTTTTCCAACTACCTCTTAAACAATTAAATGTGTAATAAAACTCAATTCACTCAAATGTGTTATGTGGACATCTTGGCACCTTCAGTACCACCAACATACTAATTTAATGCTGTAGGTTGATTAGTTGTTGTTGTTTTGTTTTGTTTTGTTTTTGTTTTGTTTTTTTGTTTGTCTTTTGGTTTCTCGTTAGCAAACCTCAAGACAAAGCTTTCCCTGGGAACTGTTTTATCTTGAGTTTGCTGGTAATTATTCTTGCTGAGTATCTTGAGGCTTATATTTTAACAGAAAAAATTTTTTTGCCATTTGCAACCACTTATTGATGGGACTCAGGACTTTCTAATACTGTGCACAAACCAATCAAACACAGGAACAAATTAACTAGGAGACGATGTTTAAGTCTGCACTGACAGCCTAATTCCTAGGTTCAAATTTATCACTTACACAACCGTGCTGTTTCCATTGGTTGACATTATAAGAAATAGATCATGTACAGGTTAATACATTGGAATCAAAAAGTAAACTAGTAAAGTAATTGTATGCTAATAAACTATAGTACTAGCTGATTTACATATTGGGGTTCTGCCCAGGAGTTCATGGAAATAAAAGGTCAACCTAGCTTTTTAAAAGTATGAAAACCATTTTTCAGCAGGATATAAACTGGTTCCATTTCATTTGAGCGCAATCACTCTGGGGTTGCTTGGGGGATGGATGGGAGACGGTGAGTCCAGCAGCAAGCAGACCAATGAGGAGGCTGGTCCCTGCCTGAGGGGGAACCTTGACTAATCTCATGGCCATGGCTCAGGAGATGGACACTGGGGCTGGAGTGGCGAGTAGAGCCTCATCAATACATCTCCCTCTCAAAGACCATGGAGCCAGGGAGCTCAGGCCTAGTTGTCAGTCGTGACCCCTGAGGCCTCACGAGCCTCTGGGAGGTAAGGGGCCTGGCAGCCTCCCAGCCTCTACTCCTTTCTGCAGTAGCCCCTCCTCCCACAAGCTATTTTGAGGGCTTTAGGCCTCCTGGGTCCCATTAGAGCCTAATCTCATTCCCAGGAGCCCGAGTGAAATATTTAAGCCCTGAAGGCCCAGAGGAGCCCCTCACCTCATGGGGTCAGAGGACTCCTCAGTCCAGACCTATCTTGTCCTTCTCTCCTCCAGCAGCTCTTCTCCCAGTAAGACTGTTTGGAAAGAACAGCTTTTGGCTGTGTTCCCTACTTGGGCCCAACAGGCAGAATCATGTTGGTCTAAATGAGAGCTCCTCAGGCAGGCTGGCTCTCCTCCATTAATCCCCCACCTGCCCCCCAGCACCAGTGGAAGGCAGAGAACTGGCAGGACCCTAGCTCCCTGGAGCCCATTGTTCCCAGGCTGAGTCCCCTGTCTAGGACAAGGGTCCCCCTGACCCATTTCCCAGTCTGGAATTGGGACTTCTTTCTGTGTTCTGGAGGAACAGTTTGTTCCTAGCCATGCCTAACAACACATGAAGGGGTGGTCTCCTTCTGCAGCTAGGCCCAGGGGTGTCTCCAAGTGTTTGGCTTCTCCCCAGCTCTGGCCAGCCCTTTACCTGTCCCTTCAACTCTGCTGGAGCCTGGAGAGGCTGCTCTTTCTGTATCTCTCACAGCAGTTCATGCCCTCTGGGCCCCAAGACCCTACCCTCCTGTACAGTGTGAGAGCAGGTAGAGCTGGTGGAAAGGTTCTTCCCTGGGGACCCCCATTCTGAAGAGAAAGAGAGCCCTGCAGCTTAGAAACCTCAGTCTGGGGGCATGGTGTTCCCCCACCATTTCTCCCAAATCTGGAAGGGGAGGGCTCCCTGGGGCAAGTGTCCCAAGGAAGTGGCTGAAATGGAAGGGGCTGGGGTCATCTGGAAGCTATCCAGGAAGGGTATATGGCGGGGGGAGTTGCTGCTGTGTGGACAGAGGCCAGGTCAGAGGCCAGAGCCTAGGGATCTTACCTACCTGGATCTGCCTTGACTTTGCTGTGTGACCTAGAGTGATACTCTGTCCGTCTCTGAGTCTACTTGCCCATTTTTAAAAGAAGGAAGTGGAGACTCCTAGGGCCAAGACAACTAGAATATCTTTCTTGTGATGGCCAGAAATGGGATGTGAGGGGATGGGGTCTGAGCAGCATAACCAGAGGGTACCCAGAATGAAGAAGACTGGCAGGGACTGTGGGACAGCAAGAAAGGAGTGAGACCTTGGCTGGCTGCCTGGGCTGGAGTGGCTGGCTTGGGAACCTGCCTGAAGGGGCCAGGAGGGCAGCTGGCTCTCTGTCCTTGATGGGGTGTTGGGCCTGTCCCTGGGAAAGTAAGCCCAGCAGGTGGGGCAAACTCAGTATCCATTCTGAAGGCCAGTAGGCTTCCTGGGTTTATGAGAGTGGTCTCCCCAACCCCCCAACCCCACCCACACTTACCATCCTTGGACATCCCTCTATCCTTTGCTTTTGCTTTCCCTTCTTTCCTTGAAAGCTCACAGTTGCCAAGGGGGCTGGAAGGTCCCCAACCCGTGATCACACAAACAGGGGTGGCTGGCAACTGGGAGAGTACCTGGGTTGAGTCCCCAGAAGAGGCACCTGTCCTGCCTGCCACTGCCTTTCCCTGACCCCGATGGCCGGATACACCATCTTTGTTGGGGTCAAAGTCAAAGGCAAACTGAGACTTACTGCATGTGCTTAGGGAACTCTTTGGTCTTCCATTTATTGCTTTGAGGTTTAAAGCTTCATTAGCCACTAGCCATTCATAGCTACTCAAATGTAAATTGATTAAAATTAAACACAATTAGAAATCCCATTCCTCAGTCTCAATAGTCACATTGCAAGCGACTGAACGTGTCTGTTCTCACAGAAAGTTCTAGTGGATAATGCTCTTCGAAAGGATGGCACAAATCTCTGCTTAGGGACAGATCATAAGCTCTGTGGGGGCAGGGATCCTGTCTGTGTTGTTTCCTGCCATGTCCCCAGCAGTGCCTGTCACATGGTAATCACTCAATGTTACCCACTGATTGGATCCCAGGCTTGATTCCAGAAAGAAGCAGTGGAGTTGGGTACGTGGCCTGCAATGCTATCAGAAGCAGGCCCGAATTTGAGGTCCATTTATGAGTCTTGCCCCTATCTTGAGCCTCTGTTTCCTCACATGCAAAGTGGGAGTCACCCCCACATTCTGATCCTCCCCAGGGATTCTTAAGGGTCCAGCTGCTGTCTCTCTCTATTCCACTGAGGGTGGTGAAGGAGTTCTGAGGCCCTCCTGGGCCTTGAGAAAGGCCTCCTAGCACCTGCCCACTCTTCTGGGCTTATCGGCACTCATGGCCCCTGCGCTGGGCTCTGCTCACCTCTGTGAATGCACTGCGTACTTGCTCACTTCCTGATACCTTCCTTTACCTGATTCCTCCTTCCGGGCTGCACACAAATGCCTCCTCTCCCGTGACAGCCTACTGTGGACCCGTCATCAAGACTCTGCTTTCCCCTCTGTCCTATCACTCATGCCAGCCCCTTTTGTGTCTCTGTTTACCTGCCTTTCTTCCTTATCACAGGTGATTCTGAGGGCAGGAGCCCTGTCGCTGCCAGGACCACTTCCCAGGCAGAGCCCAGGGACCTGGCATAAAGAACCAGTAAATGTTTGTAAAATTTGCATCAACCAAAAACAAACAAACAAACAAACAATACAATAGAGCACCTATAGAAATCTCGGAGCCCATTCTTGGAGCACCTACTGTATGTCAAGCAATCTGAACAGAAGGGTATTGTCCTGGAGTTTCTAGGTCATGTTAAATCTGTCATAGCAAATACTGTTTCTCATTGAAATAGATTATGTGAGAGTTCAGGAGCATTACAAATTTACTGAGCATCTACTAGGTGCTGGGCACAATTTTAAGCACTATAGATACTCTGAATGAACACGATAGTTCTGGCTTATGTTCCCTCCAAACTTAAGCATGGTCCCTGTTTCCTCCCCAGGACTCTGTCTAGAAATAGAAATAGATAAATAAGCAATTAAGGCCATGCTACATTTAATTAAAAAAAGGAAATCTATGGGAGAGGTAACAAACTGATGACTAGGAGCAGAAAAGGTCTTCCTGCAGGGGACACGTAGTTTGAAACCTACAGGTTGAGGGGAAGTTAGCTAGATGAAGAGCCAGGCAGAGGGCACATCATGTGCAAAGGCTCAGGGACAGACAGGAAACGATACTCAGACATGAGAAAGGTCAGATCGAGCAAAGCTGGATAGCAGAAAGTTGACAGTGTGAAGAGGTAGGCATCTGTCTCCAAGGGCTTCCTACTCCATGCTCAAGGCTGTGGAACAGAGTTTGAGAGGAGCAGTTACCACTGAAAGGGGGAGGAACATCATCAGATGTGAACTTGAGAACACCCCCTAACAACGATATGGATGACCTAGGATGGGAGATGGTGATGGACTGGACTCTGGCAGGGAGGGAGCAGAGAAGTAGATGGATTCTATAGAGTTGAAAGGTTTGGGTGATTGATTGATTGATTGATTGGTGTAGAGAGGGGAGTTGAGGAGCGGGGAGGACTTGAGGTTGACTTCTGGGTTTTGGCCTCAGCGTTGAGTCTATGGTGGTGCTGAGCATTGAGACGAGGAGGCAGATGGGCAGGTTTGGAGGTGCAGGCGGTGGTGGGAATCCAAACTTGGGCATGTTAAGTTTGAATGTCTGTTAATCACCTGGGGCAAAGAGGTATATCAGCCTGGATCTCAGGAGAAAGATCTGGGCTGGAGATGAATTTTCTTACATAACTGCCATGTTTCTGGGCACCATTGCTTCCTACAGGGCATGTAGCTCTCATGTTATAATGGAAATCATCTGGAGACCATCTCGAGCATCAGTCACACTCTGGCTATAGGCCCTGTATTCATTTTTCCATTGTGTCCAGATGGCCCACGAGATTGCACACTCCCTGAAGGCATGTCCTCCCACTGGATTATGCTCCTTGTCAGGGAGCCCCCGTCTCCCTCAGGTCCTGGCTGGGTCCCGCATGGAAGGGGTCCTGACCCAGGTCTGCCCCTGCCCAAAGCTGGGCGCCCAGAGAGGCTGGCACGGGAGACCTGCTTCAGAGAGTGGGAGTAACAGCCCTCCTCCTGCACCTCCACAGCCCAGGCCTCAGAATGCTGTCACCATTGCTGTGTCCTCCCGAGCCTTGTTCCGGATGGACGAGGAGCAGCGCATCTACACGGAGCAGGGTGTGGAGGAGTATGTACGCTACCAGCTGGAGCACGAGAATGAGCCCTTCAGCCCGGGGCCAGCCTTCCCTTTTGTGAAGGTGGGTGCCATACAGTGCTTTTGTGGGGATTAGAAAAAAGCCCTCCTGGGTTTGAATAAGGAAAGGGGGCCTCCTCTGGGTAGATGCCAGCCTGCAGGAACACGGCTTGACAAGGGGACAGAGCCATCGTGGGAAGAAGCCTCCCTGTCCCCTGCGCTAATGCAACCCCACTCCAGGTCACTAGCTCGGTGAGTGGAGCTGGGCAGGATTTCAGCCCCCACTCACCCTGTATGGAGGCACCCCTGTGCAAATATCAGCCAGCACAATCAGCCAGAGGTTAGGATGAGACAGTCCACGTCCACAGCCAGCCCTTGACCATCCCTCTCCGCCCCCATTAGATCCCAGCTCACTCCTCCTCCCAATGCTGGCTACCAACTCCAGATGTCAGTCCCTGGGGTTCTGAGCAGGAGGGTCCCCTCTCCTATCCAGGCTCTGGAGGCTGTGAACAGGAGGCTGCGGGAGCTGTACCCCGATAGTGAGGACATCTTTGATATCGTCCTCGTGACCAACAACCACGCTCAAGTGGGTGTCCGTCTGATCAACAGTATCAACCACTACGGTGAGCATCAGAGGTTTGGCCGTGGGACACGCCTACTGGATGTTTGCGGATGGGGCCACTCCTTTGGGGAGGGTGTAGGTAATACCAGCTAGAACCTGAAGCCCAGAGGTATGCCGGTAATCTTGTTTCTCAAGAAAACAAAACAAACCAAAAGAAAAAACAACAACAAAAACCCTGATTGTAACATAGTCATCTTAGGGTGTGAATATCCCTCCGTGCCTGATTTCAAGTTATCTACAGTTGGACACTCTAACTGGCTCAAAAAAAAAAAAAAAGAAAAAAAATCCCTGAATGTTTAACCTTCGGCTCCTGCAAGCTGGTGCACGCCAGCACCAGCACACCACTGCATAGGCCCTGTTGTATTGGGGAGGGCACCTGCTGCCTCTGTGCCTCAGTTTCTCTATCGCCAACTGGGCTCACAGGCCTTACAAGGCTGCTAGGAAAAGCAGGTGCAATTGTCAGAGTGAAGGGACTTTGTGTCTTAGGCCAAACTCTTTTTTTTTTTTAAGATTTTATTTATTTGACAGATCACAAGTAGGCAGAGATCACAAGTAGGCAGAGAGGCAGGCAGAGAGGAGGAAGCAGGCTCCCCAGTGAGCAGAGAGCCCGATGCGGGGCTTGATCCCAGGATCCTGAGACCATGACCTGAGCTGAAGGCAGAGGCTTAACCCCCTGAGCCACCCAGGCGCCCCTTAATCCAAACTCTTGATTGAAAGTAACACACCCTCCAGAGCTAGCCTACGCTGAAGAGAATCTTCCTAGGTTAAAAGGATGTCTCTTAGAACTATAGGGCAGGAAGTAAAACCGGGCCCAGAGCAGCCTGAATCCAAGTACTGGAAATCTCTCCTGGGCTTTTTCTCTCCGGGCCAGGTGAGCCCCCATTTCTGCTTCTCTCAGCATGTCTGTTTCCAGCCCCTCCCCCTACCCACATCTCTCTTCCCAAACTCAGTCTCTCTGCTTTTCCTGAATATGGCCAAAACTTATATGTTTACAAATCCTTGTTTTAAGCAACCAACAGAGTTTGGTGGCATTTTCGTAATCCTCATTTCAAATTGCTGGGAGCAGAATGATACTCAAAATATTTAACTACCTCAGGACACAGGCACGGAGTGATCAAGAGACACCAGCCGTAGTACCAGAGCAGGGCCCTGAAGGGCCCCTTCCTCGCCAGGAATTAGGCCTTCCGTTGTGGATTGTCCTGCATGAGGGGCTGGGGTAGTAGTGATGGAGTGACTCAGTAGGCCCAGAGCAGCGGCCTCTTGCCAACCGGCAAATCCACTCCAGCCGCTGTGCGCAGGGGTACTGGGTGACCATCCGCCCGGGCTTGGAGAGGATCTGATCCGTCCAGCTTGGGTCAGGTGTCCGCCCCTATCCAATCAGCTACGGCCAAGGAGGGCAGACCTCTAGGTGGACACCCACCTTACGTAGTAGTAGTGAGATTATTTGACAAGAGGACATTACCGTGGGCCAGGCGGTCACTCCTGGTTAGTCATCTATATTTCATGGGTGAAGGATGGAAGGGGAAGGGTGGCCTATAATCACTCCGAGAATCGCTCTGCTGCCCCATCACCACTCAGAGCCAAGATGGAACCCACTGGACACGGAGGGACCCCTCTGAGGCCCTGAGGGTTGACTCAGGCATCACCTAAGTGCTCTCTGCCTCCTCCCCAGACCTGTTCATTGAGCGGTTCTGCATGACAGGTGGGAATAGCCCCATCTGCTACCTCAAGGCCTATCACACCAACCTCTACTTGTCAGCTGATGCGGAGAAAGTGCGGGAAGCCATTGATGAAGGTCAGTCATGCTGGGGAGGGAGAATGTGGGGAGTCTGACAAAAGGGTTGCAGAGGTTGGAGGGGAGGGGGCTGGCCCTAAAGCTCTAAGCAGATGCTAGGGGTTACTATGGTAATTGGAAAGGGAGTGCCTTCTTTAATTCCTGTGACCTGTCAGGTAAACTGAGAATAAGGCCCACCTGTTCCACTGATTGCCCTTCTATTCCACTCTCCCACCTTCTGCCCTCCCGTGGTAAGGATGCCTTTACTCACCAGCATCCCCCAGCCTTCTCTTCCCGTGGAAACCCTCCTTACAGCCTGGAAGGCTACTCACTTTTAAGAACCCTCCAGGTCGGTAGTTCTGATGCCTGTGTGACCAGAAGCAGCCTTTGCCGCCCGTCTGGGCCAGTGGGGAGGAAGGTCAGTATCTAGTTCCTCCTGAGCCCTGGGTCTGGGAAGTGGCTGGCATTTCAGCAGCCGGCCTGGCCAGTGCTGGGGTGAGGTTAGGAGACCCAGCCGCAAGGACTGACAAAGAGAATCTCCCTCTGTGAGTCTCTGTCAAGGGACAGTTTAGGGTTAAACTATGGGAATCTTATATCCCACAGCCCTGGTTCTCTGGACACGGTGTGTATCCCTGTTGCTCATGGAAGTAAACAGGCCCACAGGGGAGGAAGGACTGCCGCACTGCCACGCGGGCTCCTCAGGCCGAACACTCCCGGCAGGTTTCGCTATCAACCAGCAATATATTCACTGTTTTATTTTTTTTAAGATTTTTAAAAATTTATTTTTGCACACGCGAGAGAGAGCACATGCGAGAGAGAGATAGCACCCACGAGAGAGAGAGAGAGAGAGAGAGCGCGTGCGAGCGAGCACAGGTCGGGGGGAAAGGCCAGAGAAAGAAGCAGACTCTTCCCTGAGCAAGGAGCCTGATGCAGGACTCCATCCCAGAATCCTGGGATCATAACTGGAGCCACCCAGGTGCCCTACTTTTTTTTTTTTTTTTTTTTAAATATCCACTGTTCTCTCCCTCTTTCATGCTGTCTCCTGCCTAGAAGCCTGGCCTCTAACCTCGCAATGCCTCACTCCTCTGTGTTGCTTTGGGCTGCAAGAGGCTTTCTTTAACCAGAAGCCAGAAGCGATTTCCCTAGGCAGATGGCACACCCTCTGGTTGGTCTGGTTGGGCCCTTGGCACTGGCCTGAGTGCGTGCCTCTCCACATCTGTAATTTGAGTGCCTGATAGCAAGCAGGGGATGGTCAGGAGGGAGACCCTGCCCCCAACTGGGTGGTCCTGGTTCCTCTTGGCTCCCGTGTTGCAGGCGCTGAGAAGGTGCCCGGCCTGATGCCCGGGAGTATCTTCTGGCTGCTGAAGTTGCCGGGAGCCTGACACTGCTTTCTCCTCCCAGGACCTCTGCCCTAGCCCAGCCCTTGCGAGCCTGGAGTTCCAAGAGCAGAGCTGAAGCAGCCCTTGGGAGATGACCAGTAGAGAACAGACCCCCAGGCCACCAGCCTACTAGCATTGGCTCTCTGCTGCCCAGTGCAGCTCCAGTCTGGGGCCTGGGCTCCCACAGGCATCCTTGACTCCTGGAGAAGCCCAGGGTTGCAGAGTCTGTACACGATCAGATGGCATTGGTACTGCCCTTTTTGGTCACCAACATTGCCTCAAGGAACCCTGAGTAGGGTATACCTGGGGCCATTGTGGCAGTAAACTGGGGGCAGTGAACCCGTAGACTTCAGCCTGGGATTCCAGCTCCAGAGCTTGAACACCCTTAATTCTACCTTGGTCCAGAGAGGGTGTTGATTACTTGCAGGAATCAACAGTAGAGAGTAACTGAGTCCAGGCCAGCCCAGCCCCACCGTGCCTGTGAGGATCTGCTAGAAGGACAGCAGTGGCCTGGGGGACCCTTCCTTCCGGTCAGGATTGACATTCAGCTGGTCCATACCAGCGTGACCTTACTAGATTTTAAGGAATTGAAATTTCTCCATACTGATTGGTAAACAGCTGTTTCCCTGAGTCCTCTGAGTTATCTCTGTTTCTGGCACCTCCCCCACCCCCAAACTTCCACAAAGCAGCAACTAAAGGGAAACCCTGACATGGGCCAGGGCCCTCTGAGCCCTCCTCAGAGCAAAAGCAGCTATCCATTCTTATTGACCAGTTTTTAAATATTCTGAGTATGAGCCCCCATTAGTCTTGCCCTGAGTCCTGGGAGAGGCTGGGGCAGGGGGCCAAAGGCAGGCCCCAGGTCTCTGAGGCACGTGTCAGGGGCCCCTATTGCTTAGATGAAGGCAGACAACACTTGCCTCTCTCTGCCTAGGGATTGCAGCGGCCACCATCTTCAGCCCCAGCAGGGACGTGGCTGTGTCCCAAAGCCAGCTGCGCGTGGCCTTCGATGGGGATGCTGTGCTTTTCTCGGATGAGTCGGAACGCATCGTCAAGGCCCATGGGCTGGACAGGTTCTTTGAGCATGAGAAGGCCCACGAGAACAAACCTTTGGCCCAGGTGCTGCATACACTCCCCAGAACCCCTGAGAGGTGCGAGGCGGGTGGCCTAAGCTTGCCCTTGGCTGGAACTTCAAGCCCAGAACCAAACCCCAGGCCCAACCCAGAATCCAGACAGTTCCCCTCACCAGGCCTCCAGCCCTCATCCCTCTCACCTGACTCCTGACTCCCTCAGTGTGTTTCTCCACCTTCACTGACCCTTGTCCCCCTCACTGCAGTCCTATCCTCCACCTTTGAAGCCCCCATTCTCTCTCTAAGCTCCTCTGCCCTCTGAAGCTTCCTTCCTCTTTCTGAAGGCCTCTCACTGTCTCCAAAACTGCCATCTTCTCTCCGGAACCCTCATCCCATCTCTGAGATTTACCCACCCCTTTGAGTTGTGTCCCAGGTCCTCAAGAAGCCCCTGTTTCCCTTACTGGAGGAGAGGAAAATCTGGGCAGCTCCTCAGGGGGGCAGGGAGACCCCACTGGTTGTGGGGTCTGGAGCAACCCACCTGCTTTGGGCCACACCAGCCCTCCTACCTCCTGCCATCCGTCCCTTGGCCGGGAGGCTTGGGGACCCTTCCACTGCTTGGAGTCTCCCTGAGAGTAGAATATGCCAGGAAGCCTGGAGAAAATTTCCTGGGTTTGGAGGTGTTGGGACCCACAGACCTCCTGGGAGATCCTATTTGTGCTTTTAACAAAAGTCTGGGTGTGCAATAATCCCAGAACTCTTTCCCCAAGAGCTCAGCAGGCTTTTAGTGGCAGCTCCCAGATACTCATCTGACTTCTGTTTTTGTGGAGTCCTCCTGAGATCTCTGGAAACCCAGGACAGGACCAGTTTTACTACTAAGTGGTAGCCAGAGGCCCAGGAGACCACTACTTGCTCCAAGTCACCCAGCCAGGGAGGGGTCTCTAAGATTAGAAGCCCACCTGCCCTCGTTTCCAGCCACTGATGCAGCTTTCCCCTTCATCAGCATCTGGTTCTTTATTCACACATCCTCCTTCAGCTTTGTTGTTCTGGGCACAGCAGAGAGTCAGTCTTTCTCTTGACCCTAGAGAGCTGGGGTGTGACATCCTGAGCCACCTGTGCCCAATGGGCAGGGTTTGGCAGGTATACGTTGGTCTGTCTGTCCCTGTTGTTTGCAGCTGGAATCCATTCTGATTGGAGGGTGCCCATCCCATAGTCACTAAAATATCCTCCCGGCTGATATTTCACAGAAAGGCACACTTACGCAGCTGCATGACAGACAACCACGTACCTACAGGGCATGTAGACGGACATACATAGCAACAGTTGCCCTGGGATGGTTATTCTGACCCAGACAGCCCCAATCACAGCAATATGGATGCCCAGACTGACAGAGGTACCTACAGACCCACTGATGCACACAGTGGCCCCAGCAGGTGTAGCAGAGCTGGGAGATTTAGGGGTCTCGAAAAGCTTTCCCACCCCAAACAGCAGGATCCTAGTGCTTTTGGGAGGAGTCCTTCCAGAGAGGGGGCAAATGTTTGGGAGACAGAGGAGCTCACCGTGTTCCCTTGCCTTCTCCTAGGGCCCCTTGAAGGGCTTTCTGGAGGCACTGGGTAGGCTGCAGAAGAAGTTCTACTCCAAGGGCCTGCGGCTGGAGTGCCCAATCCGTACCTACTTGGTGACAGCACGCAGCGCAGCCAGCTCGGGGGCCCGGGCTCTCAAGACCCTGCGCAGCTGGGGCCTGGAGACGGATGAGGCCTTGTTCCTTGCAGGAGCGCCCAAGGGCCCCCTCCTTGAGAAGATCCGCCCACACATCTTCTTCGATGACCAGATGTTCCACGTAGCCGGGGCTCAGGAGATGGGCACGGTGGCCGCCCATGTGCCTTATGGTGTGGCCCAGAAGCCCCGGCCACCTGCCCCTCTGAAGCCAGCCCCAGCTGCGCAGTGAGCCTCCAGCTTCACTGACTTGCAGGGCTGCAGGCACGGATCCCTATCTGTATTCCACCCCAACGTCCAGTGGACCCTTCTAGTTCCTCACCGCTCTGTCCTTCTGCACGTCTGCCCTCATCCCCACGAGTGAGGAACTTGTAGGGAATTATGCAGACTGACCCAGCACCCTCCAGAGCCCTCCTACAGGGCAAACACTGTGCCACGATTCCGGCTGGAAGAGTAAGATTGCAGAGTAGCTTGGTTTCGGGGGAGGAGGAGGGTGGGTTGATGGGAATGAGGGTGACAGTGTCAGAGGAGCCAGGCTGCCTCCAAGGGGGCTTGGGATGAAGACTAGCTCAGTGCTGTGCAAAGAACTTGGCTTTGAGAGAGAAGGCATCCGGCTTCCAAGCTCTGTGGCGGCGTGAACTGACGACCTGGGGTAAGTCCCTCCCTTTCATGGGCCTCAGTTCTGGCATCTTGTAGGTGGTTTTCCATCTCTCTTGGAGCTGCACTGGCATGGTTTAATAAGATTGCCTGGCCCAGGGCTGCTGCCAGACTGTAGGGTACCTTTGTGCAATTAGAGGAGAACACTCTCTCGAGAATGAATTTCAAAAAGAGGACCCTTGCTCTGCGCTGACCCAGATCCACTCTGGGGTACATGGCTTGCTCAGAAGCACGTAGCCTGTATCTCAGCCCCCACGGACTCCTCGGCTCAGAGGTCTTTGTCAAAGGGACAAAATGCACAGTCGTCCGCAGCAACCCTACCTCTCATTCTGCACGTTTGGAAACCACAAGACAAGATGACCTGTCTGCTTCCCATGATGCTCTACTGTGAGTCCCCCGTCAGGGGTCAGCGGCCAGGAGCAGGGTCTGTGGAAGGAGAGAGGCATGAACTTAACCTGCACGCAAACTCTCCTTCCGCCAGCAGGGGTTACTGCGGGCTCTTCCCCAGGAGGAGCTTTTGGGACCTCCTGCTCAGGGCTTCCTTTGCTTTTGCTTTTAGCCAAAGTTTAGCTGTTCCTGCCTGCCAACCCTCTCCCCTCAGCTCTCAGTCCTTTGGTTACCGTGTTCTGCTGTGTTGCCAAGCAGCTTTGCCAGCGGGGAAGAGGTAGAGTGTTGGGGTTCGCTGTCATGGGCCCAAATGCAGGGGAAGAAAGCTCAGTGGCTGAAGTGGGAGGGTGTCCTGCTTGCCTCTGAGAGAAGACCTGCCCAGGGTGACATGGGAAAATCTGGTCTGAGGCAGTGACCCATTAGACAGGAAGGAGCTGAAAGGTGCACTAGCAAGATCCTCCAGCTATGGGACTATGAGTGGAAGCACTGAGGTCTCTGTCACCGGGATGCTGTGCAAGGGACACCAGAATGAGGTGACCTCTCCCGGCAGCATGCCAGTGAATCCCCCATTCGCAGGAGCCTCTGCAGCCTCTTTGTCACCACTTCTAGGGGAGAACTCTCACTCTTTAATGAGTCCGCTTCTTTTTTTGCTAATGAGCCTGGCTCTCTTTATGAAGAGAGGGTGTGAACAGGGATGGCTGGTCCCTCAGGAAGACCCAGAACAGGTGAGCAGCCATCTGAGAGGGCAGGCGACCGATTATCTGGCTCCTGGGCCATCCCAGCTGTAAGCAAGCACTTTGTGAAGGAAGCCAAAGGCCCCATCATAGGGAGCAGGAGCTTGGAGGTGTGTGTGAGAGAGCTGGACCGCTGGTGAGGGCAGGAAAAGGAGGTAAAGAGCTACCTTGGGCCTGACCTTTGTCATCTTGTGGACTCAGTGCAGGATCTGAATGGGGACAAATTCAAGGCAGTGTATGGCAGGGTAGTAGTTGCAGAAAGATAATCCAGGATGGAAGGCAAAGTGAGGAGACAGAAGTGTTTCCAAGGTGAGCAATAGTTTGGGCCAGAAGAGGAATGCCAGGCTGGGTTTGCACTCTCCGTGTGTGAAGCTGAGCTGGGGAGTGGGGGAAGGGGGAAGGTCAAGGCATGCTGAGTTTCTGGGGCAGACCCCACCACTGATCACCTTATCACGGGAGGGGCATGTGATGATGACATCTTTCAATCCAATATAGGTCTTTCAATCCACGGCCAGGATCCATCTGGCCAACAGAGGAGGCCTCAGGGCAGGGGGCCTGGTCTTGAGCTCTTCCCTCTGCTCCAAGCCCAGCCAGAGATACTAGGAGACATAAGAACCACCTCTAGGAAAAAAAGTGAGAGAGGGATTCAGCTTTGATCTTGGCTGAACCATGAAAGGCCCTCTGTCCTTCCTTGAGTCAGAATCACCTCCTTGGATGAGCCTCTAGGGCTCCAAAGCCAGCCAGAGCCATATGCAGCCTGCAAAGCTGGCACAGTTGAGGTTCAAAGAATGGTATTAGTCTGCATGACCAGAACGGGGTATGTACATTAGGCACCAGATGGCACCTAATTAAGATAAACCCTAGGGATTCTGGGAATCAAGAGGTCTTGCCTCCAGGACCTAATGATAAACCGCCCTGATTCTTCTAGGTCTTTCAGGAAGCAGAAAAATATGAGGCTGGAAGGAGAAAGATAAGGGGCAATAAAAGCTGTGGATTTCACTGGAGCCACCACTAATAGACACAGACAGCCCTGGGCAGTGAGAGCCACTGGGATCTGGTTCTGTTATTGAAACCATAAATGAGCATCTTGGGCCTGGAAAAAAGCTTTAGGGGGCCGGAGTAAAAGGCCAGAATCCTGGGGGCAGGTGAGGCAGCGGCCAGATACACGTTCTGATTCTTTCCAGTGGTGAGGAGGAACCCCAGGCAAGGAGCATTGTGCATTGGTTCCCCGGGCAAATTGAAATGCCACGTGAGCACTACAGCCCGTACTGGACTGCAGCACTAGGGCAGGGAATCCCAGCTCCTGAAATGCTGAACCCCTGGAGCCCATAGCTCTGCCCCCCGACAAGTCCCCTGAATGCTTCCCAGGAAGTACTTGCCCACGCTGTCCCAGACCCAGGGGAATCTGCCAGTGAGCAGGAAGCCAAGCCCTGTTCCTAGGCGCTGAGACTGCAAAGATCATCGCAAAGCTGCTCCCTCCTTTCCCCAGGTGCCCAATCAGAAAGGCAGGGACGGAGCAGGAAACGCTAGGAGAAACCAAAACCTGTGAGAAGCTCAAACAGGAGATGGATCCGGGATCATAATGATATCCAGCTGGTGTGACTGGTGATTAACACATGGAAATACCTCTATGACAGTTGCGAAATAGCCCTGGCCCAAGCCCCCGAGTGCCCCTCCATGGCCTCCGCTGCACTGGCCTCCCTCCACTGTGACAACGCCGTCTTCCCACAGTTCAGCAAAAGGGGCGTCCGGGAGTCTGTGCTGGCCCAATGGTCATCGTCCACTCTAGTTGCTCGTTTAGAGAGAGTAACTTACCCAGAGTCGCTCAGCTGGTGAGTGGCAGCACTGGCAATGAGCCCATGTCTGTCCCTTGGGACCCAGGCTCTCAGCCATTCTGCCATTCAGCCCAGACAGCATAGAGGCCGCAAGAGAAACTTCGTGACAGAGGAGCTTGCCCACCAGTTAGCATGCTGACCTCCTTCCTGTTAAACTGCTATACAACACATGGTACATTGCTGTTGTAGTGTACTAAGTAGCTAGGAAGAATTTAAGTTAGAGCCAGACATTTGCAGAGCTGCTGAAGCATCACCCAAGTTCTCTGGAACCCAGTCTGAAGCCCCTCGTGTGGGACTCATGCAGGGTTCAACTGATGATGAGCCAAATCCCACTCACCACCTGTTTTTGTAAAGAAACTTTCATCAGAGCACAGCCATGTCTACTGGTTTTGCACACAACAGCAGAGTCGGGTTGTTTCAACAGAGACCAAGGAGCTGAAAATATTTATCTGACCCTGGACTGAGGCAAACACCGGCAGCCTGCCCTTTCGTGGGAGAGACCAGCTCATATCCACCCGAGTGCTGGAGGCAGAGGCTGGTTTCACGGCCAAGGGCGGGCAGCATGGGCAGTCTCCGTGCCCATCTGCGGGGATCGTTAGGGCTGCAGAAAATCATAGGCACTAGTTGAGTACTGTGATGTTGAACACAATTAGATCCTTGGTATCGGAGGATTTCAGATTTCAGGTTTTGACCATTTCCAAGTGCCCCATGGCCTGTTATAATTTGAAATGTTGTTGACTCATAAAGTTGACTCGGATGTGCCCTCCTCAGCTGATGGGTGAGGGCAGGGAGCACGACCCTTGGCTAGGGCTAAGCCCAGCTGGCTCTTCAGCACCTGCTCGGTGTGCCTTTGTGGTTCTCAGCTCATCATTGCCCTCCTGGGCCTCTTGGGAAATGAAAAGTGCTGGTAGGTGGATGGGCTTTAGCTAAATATTGGTTTTGGATATAATGGAGCAGCCGATGTTGACTTCAGCACTCTGATCTAACAAGTCATCCGTATGCTCTCTGTGGAAGCAGGAACAAGTTCTTCACGAAGACAGCTCCAGCAAGCGCTTTAGCTGGCCCAGAACTTATTGATCAAGCAAGAGCTAAAACTCCAGTGAAAGTCAAAACAGCAATTGTCTTGGGCTGTGCGGGTGTGAGCAACACACATGCCCTCTTGGTGGAACTGCGGATCAGGAGAAATCTGGGACCCAGCAGCCAGAGGAGTTTACCCAATCTCCAGGATCTGCTGCAAGAAAGGCAAATGCCGAAGTGGTCCCACCTATAGACATGACTGTTCCATCATGATACTCTTGTCTCTTAAGCCCAGGCTTGGCCTCAGAATCCTTCTCAATCCAGCATTCCAGGAGCCCCTACTAGCAAGTTGGAGTTGGTACAGAAGATGGAACCCTATTTTGACATCCTTGTTGGTGTGGGGTTCTGCTTTCCAGGGCCTCTGCAAGGCCCTGTTTATTCTCTGATGGCACGGTACCACTCAGAATCCGGGGGTCTCACCCTACTCGGGCAGGAGGGGTGGAGGGATGGATGGAGGGGGGATGGCAGGCATCCTGGGGTTGGCCGCTTCCCCAGACTGGGTGCCTTTGAATGTAGGTCCCTGTTCTCTGGGTTTCACCAGCTCCAGGCAAAGCACGAAAACCCTTCCCATCAGTAGGTGGCGCTAGAGGCCAGCACTCCGCCATTGGCAAAAGTTCCTGGTTTCCTTCACTGGTTAATTTTCTCTACTGTAGTACTTGGTGCTGTGCTGGACTCCTGTGGGTAGCTTGGCCTAAAAGCACTATAGGTGCTCTGAAAATTTCCTGTGTGACAAGCTGATTTCTCTTACCAGCAACCACTGTGACTGTGTGTGTGGACAGATTCATATGAGCATGTGCAACAGGATGAAAGCTGCATGTGTCTATGTTTACATGGGTGTGTAACAGATCAGATATCTCTGTGACAACTCTGTGTGTGTGTGTGTGTGTGTGTGTGTGTGTACATGTACAGTGGACAGGTTGGTTATCTCTGTTAACTAAGGATCCTGGGCCCCATATTCTTATGGCCAGCCCTGTTTCTTGGGACTGCTTCTGGCCATTCCCATCATCTCATGGGCATTTGCACATGTGCAGCATGGGGGCCACTGAGGCCAAGTTCCATATCTTTCTTTCCAGCTTT